ATTAGTGTTCAAAGCCTCAAACCTGTTCCTGAGATGGTTCTGAAATGGGGTTGCTTTCATAATTAAAAAAATAATTCCTAAGTCTTTCTTGAAATACAGCTGCCTTAGACTGTCATAATTCGTCTTTGGACTCGGCTTGCTGCTGCCCTAAACAAAATCTGGGTTTTATTAGCAATTTAAAAAAAAGAATGGCTACTGGGTAGGCAAGCAGCAGGATTTGCCACAACGTGATTACTTTTCTTCTTTGTACTGAAGGATCTACAGGTGAAATTGGATGTCTAACTCTTCATATGACCCTGGTTTTTCTCTTTACGTTGCTCTTGGATAATTTTGCCTCCTGGCTAGAAAGGGTAGGCTGAGGCACAGAGTCTTTCTTCTAATGATTTGGATTGTCTTTGCACCATATTAATTGAGAATTTGCTTTTACTAGCAAAATATATCATGAGTCTTTAAGTAGAACACAAATAAGAAGGCAAATTTTACTTGATAATAACTTTAGATTCCAAATTGTTTCGATAATATTCAGGTATGATACTAACATTTTTTTTTACATTTTCTGTCCAGCTATCTCTTAAAAACAAAAACCATAGTGAATGCATCTGAGATGGATATTCACAACATAACTCTACCAGAAAAGATTACAGAGGTAAAGTTTCCTAGTGGTTGTTTGATTCATTTAGAAGCAGCTCTTAATAGCTATACCAATGAACTTGAGAATTATAGAGTGGTGTGGTATTTCAGTAATCTTTTATCATTGTTAGGGCATTCCCATTGAGTCTGTACCACAAAGTAAAATGTTAAAGCCATATATGATTTCATTCAGAAATTAAAGAGGGAGGAAGCTGATAAGCTTTTGCATTTCTGTTCTTTCTTCTGCTCAGACTGTACAGAGCTGTCCTCTTTATAAACACTTTATGCTTACATGTCTCTGAGGAGTGGTAAGACACCTATTAAAATATTCTCATTTAGACAGATTTTACCAGTGGTCAATGGCATTTAGTCGAAAAGGCTGCTTTGTTTTGGTAACTTGCTGACTCATTGCAAGTGAAATTTTGGCTATAGTTTTATTACTCAGAAGAGCAACCTTAGAATTTAAACTTACTTTTTGTTTTTAATTA